TTAATCTGTATTGAAGTATCAGTACTTGTATCTGTGGGGACTTGGGCAAGTATCAGTACTTGTATCTGTGAGTACTTGGACAAGTATCAGTACTTGTATCTGTGAGGACTTGGATAAGTATCAGTACTTGTACTCGCAAAACTGGTATCGGTGCATCCCCTTATATATATTTATAAAAACAAAATCGTACATTAAAACAAAGATGTACAAATCCCAGGAGCTCCGTGTGCTCCTTACAAATGACAGCTGCTTCCTAACTTTTGAATTTTTCTCTAGTCTAGTCTTGGAGCTGGAAAAGTATCGGTACTTGTACCGAGTACTGTACTTGGTATCAGCGCATCCCTAGTATATACTCTGTAACCCTTTAAACTCCCAAACTTTGTTTTCCAATAATAAGTCCAGATCAAACAAATATACATTGCCCAGCAATGTATTTCGTTATATTTTTGACCAAGTGCTTACAGTCATTATGTTTCCAAACAGCAGTCTCCACTTCCCTCAGCTCAGCTTCCCTGAACTTCCTGTCTAGTACACGATAACAAGTGACAGAGCATTTTGCAGCAGTTGTCCATCTTCTAGCTTGGAGAAGGGTGGAGAGGGGATCAAGGATTGGATTGCACTGCTGTGTCTGTATGTTTGTGGAGACACACGCAGCTTACTATCACATACAAGGGTGGCTCCATTAGACCCTGCAAGGGAAAGGAGCCTCCCTAAAACAGGATGTCAGGACCAGTGCTCAGGGGACCAGCTGATTTTGCAGGAAACTAAAACTTTTAAAAATTAAGATGCATTATCAATTGTAAGTGATTTCATCCGAATTTGAAATAGCTTAAAGTGACATTAAAGTTAAATCCCCCCTCCCCCCATGCTGCTTTAAAGACTTACCTCATATGATGCCTCTTGATCGGAACATCTTCTTCCTTCCAGTCTTTTTCAGCAGTCCCTCTAGCGCTGGTGCCGGTGTCTGATCCAGCGCAGACTGCTGTCTCTTCCTGTCCCACGGAGTCTGTCCGGCGTGCACGGTCACGGCTGTGTGCATTGACTTACACAGTAGCTCTCCTCCTCTCCCCACCGGTGATCTCCACTGCGCATGCGCCCGCACAACCACTTGAGAAGCTGGATTCTGCAGCCGGAAGCGAGCGGCGGAGACAGAGATACATTTTTACCTACTTGGTAACTTTTTTACTTTCATGTTTTTGCATATATCTACTGCTTGCTAGCAGTAGATATATGTAAAACAAATTGAGACTTTAATGTCACTTTAACATCATTTAAGATAAACTGTTTTTTTTTTTTACACAATAAAAATAGATTATATAAAAAAAAACCCGATTTGCTCTGTTCGGTGGATAAATAGTAATCTAATTACTTAAACTAGCTAAATGTGGATAAATGTGATCTCTTTATCCAAGTTGTTTTTTGTTTTTTCATATCCTTGTTTTAAACATCTCTGTTTAAAGATATCAGAATGTCTTTTTTATGTTAAATCTAAACTTTTCATTGGTTGCTAAGGTTGCCTAATTTGGCACATGGCACATTGCCTTTTGCCATATTATTTGCCTTATTATCTCTTATTAGTCAAAGAAAAAAAAGGATACACATCTTTATAAACCTATACAAACTCATTATGGAGCATGCAGCTATTTTGCTATAGTCAAAGAAAGAAAAAAGCATAAACCTATATAAAGTCATCATGGAGCATAAAGTTATTTTACTATGTTCAATGAAAGAAAAAAAAAAAAAGGATAAACATCTTTATAAACCTATAAAAGTCATCATGGAGTATAAAGTAATTTTACTATAGTCAAAGAAAGAAAACAAAAAAAGGATAAACCTATAAAAAGGTATTAAGGAGTATGAAGTTATTTTACCATAATCAAAGAAAGAAAGGATGAACAAGTTTTTCAATCTATTATGGAATAGATTATAATTGGTTACAATGATATCTTAGAATACTTGAAACAAATCATTTTTAATTGTTGACAACAGACACAATTGTCATATTTTTGGATGTACATTCATAACTCAACCTACGTCATCAGCCTGGGAAGTCTATATAAGTAATATAGTGGCTTACCTGAGCTGCCTGTGACTCCTGAAAGGCTGTAAAACAAAGGAGGAAAAGTAGACTGTACTGAAATCCAGAGGTCATACTGACAAGTCTTCAGAGCAAAATGTAGTCAAGCTGGATATTAATAAAAGCAAGAGTGGCTCTTTCTTGAAGTCCCTTGCCTAAGTTTTCCTCTAGGAATTGTCTTTCATGTACACCCAAATATTCAAATGGGACAGTATAAGCACTAGTAATGCAGGATCACAACTGCATATTAATCATGCAGAAAGAGTCAGTAGCAATCCACACCGAGCCTGCTCCCAGAATACAGCAACTGTTGACACCTAAGTTACTGTTTGTACCTTACTGAGTCTCACTATATCCCTCCCACATTTTTTCTCTCTTCAGGGATATTCAGTAGGTGGAAAAAGACACCGCATGGAAAGAGTACCCAAAGCCTGACAATGCCAAAGCAAGTTTCTACTTCTCCTCTCTCATCCAGCATGAAAAAAAATGCCCTTGGAATTTAGTTCAGTCTTCTTGCATTTGAAGAGGAGAGACAGGATGTGTTCATTCATACAATCACACTCTCTGCTGAGCACAAACTATTTCATTTGAATGCAAGGAGCAGAAACAACTATTCCAGTGCGTTGTTATGCTGCATAGTTATGTAAGATGATGTCATTCAGAAGGCTGAAGAGCAATGGTAACAGACTAGAAACGGTTAAAGCTAAGGGAAGGTTTCTAGTAACTTTTTTTTGACAGACATTGTAGAGGCTGAGATTCTTGACTGAAGATCATTGAAGGCTGAAAAACATTCACTTGAACTTTTGAGCCAAGAAAAAAGGGATGACGACCCGGGTCCATAAGGCCTTCAGCTTTGAGTGGCTTTGGAATGCTACTTGAGAACACCCACTGTGCCTCAACTAAAGTTAGGGCATTATGGACGGTCCAGATGGCAATGGCTGGTCAGAAGAGATGGCTAAACTAATCTAATATTAAAGCATGAATACTTCTGAATAGCAGCTGGTGGATTTTGACTGGTCCATGAATCTGGTTATTGCATGATAGACAGGATCACCTCATCCTTGTTGCATCTGTTTCATTTTTTGGTATCCATATGTTATGCAGCCTTACATAGCAAAATGCATACTAAGATTTTTATCTACACACTTCAATAGGCTACTGGTTACTGGCCCAGCCCTGGCAGTGCAATTGTACTCATGTGCAGTGGTATTATTTTGAAAAACTATTATAAAGTGTCCCTCTTTCCCAATAGAAAGTTTGGAGGTATGAGTAAGTGGGGGCTTGGAATAGCAGCCTTGCACTGACCTTACTGCACGTCACTGCTTTGCAATAAATACCCAATCACGTGCAAGATAAAAATGTGATTAGATGATGGAAGTCAGATTATTCACTAAGCTAAGGGAAATTCCCTTGCAAAGTGAACAACCTATTTGCCTTTGGTAACCCAATCCCACTGTTTATTTTTCTCTCCCTTTGTCATTGTCCCCCTTTACTGTAACTTACAAAAGTGAGTGTGGGTGCTAGTATAAGGCAGTGGTGGGCAACTCTGGCCCTCCAGCTGTGCTTTATCTACAAATCCATACATATCTCTGCCTCTCGGACTCATGCCTGTAACTGTCAGTCTTGCAATGCCTCATGGGACTTGTAGTTCCTCAACAACTGGAGGGCTGGAGTTGCTTACCCCTGGTATAAGGGAACCCAGCCCCTTGGAATAATGGCCGTGTTGCATTTGCGCCTTGTTCCTATACCACTGCACTTGAGTCCACTAGCATTTCCTTGACCAGCAGCCATGTAGCCAGCAGCCAGCAGCCTATTGAAGTGTGTAGATAACAATCTTAGTATGCATTTTGCTATGTAAGACACAACATATGCATACCAAAAAATGCAACATACCAGGATGAGGTGATCCTATCTATTACAGCAATAGTATGATTACATAACCAGATTTATGGACTGGTCATAATCCACCAGCTGCAATTAAAAAGTCATGCTTTGATACACATTGACCAGTATTAACACAAAGGTTTCTGTCTTTCTGGGACCCCTAGTAACATAGTTTTATTGATCCTGCCAGTGAATCTTTAATTTTTCCATTTCCCTTAATAGACCAAGCTGTACAGTAAAAGTTGCAGTTACACAGGTCAGGAGAAACCGTATAACTTTACCAGGCATACGTTTCTACTGTACGGTCGCACGACTTTTGTCTTTCGAGCTGGTCGAAAACCAGCCGAGAATCGTACGATAGCATGATCGTGAGATAACTGCCGCAAGGGCCGGTGTGCACAAGCGCACACTGCCGGTTCAGCATTGTGGTCATCGGAAGCTCGCCCCTCAGCAGGGCAGGCTTGCGATTATCGCAAGTACAATCTGCCTGTCCAAGATGGGCAGATCGTATGTTTTTTTAATTACCTTACAACCATCACAAGACAAAAGTCTTGCAATGGTTGTAAGGTGTGTGGCCAGCTTTAGAGCGGAACTACACTCAGCTCCCATTGTTCCATTATTGGCTTCGACCTCTTCAGCCAGTCTTCTTCTGGGTTCGGAATCTTCAGCCATTTGATTGGTCTGGATGGCATGACATAACTCCTGCACATGCACACGAGAGCTTCTACATTCCCGCACTGAGGTGTGCTGAGAATGCACGCTGAGCTGTGCATACAGAACCAGAAGTGTGCTGCTTTTGTCAGGACTTTAAGCTGTGTGCAGGATTTTTTTACACTTTGCACATTCTAAAGAAGATTGCGACCAGGCAGGTAAGTCTGTATGAGACATAGTATGTTTTTTTATTTCAATAAAGAGCCTGCCCGCAATATTTTTTTTAAAATTAGGACCTGCTTTAAAGCAGAACTCTGGGAAAATAAAATCATAACCCTAGCAGTGGGGCTACCCCGGCACAGCAAGAGTTAAGATTTCATTTTCCTGAGTTCTGCTTTAAGTCACAACCTGAGACACAGTTACAAGGAGGAGTCATGAAATTTGAATATTTAAAAAAAAATACAATTTTTTCTTGACACACTAGAGTGGCAAAATGCTACTGTAAAGGGTTAGGCTATAGAGATAGCCTAACCCAGGCATAGGCAACCTCGGCACTCCCGCTGTGCTGAAACTACAAATCTCATAATTCCTCTGCCTATGGGAGTCCTGTTTGTGGCTTTTTGAGTCTTGCAAAGCCTCATAGGACTTGTAAATTTCTTATCACCTGGGGTGACAAGGTTGCCTATCCCTGGCCTAACCCCTTACTGTTCTAAGCAGCTATGAAAATAATAAATGCCATTTTTTTAAATATGTATATTTAATTGTTCCTCCTTGTACTTCTGTGTATAAATATGTGGGTATCAGAAACATTTTCAGAATTGCATAAAGCCAGAAAAAGGATCTAAGGCTCCTTTCAAATGGGCATTCCGATCAGGTCCACCTGTCAGTTTTTCAGGCGGAACTGATCAGAAGCCCAATGTTAGTCTATGGGCAGCCAGATCTAAATGGATGTGTGCCCGTTTACATCTGATTATCCCCAGCTCTGACAAAATCCAGAAAACCAAACAAAACAGATTTCCATTTTGGAGGGCCTGATCATGGCGGATCAGGGGTAATGCAATGTAAACTAACACATCCAACTCCCCATAGACCCACATAGGTCTGGTAATTTCAGCTTTTGACAACTGGATGGACAACTGGATGGACAGTAGTGACATCCGTTCCGAACTGCTCCAATCAGCAGGGGATTTGTGCACGGAACATGCCCATGTGAAAGGGGCATAAGGTATCCTGAAAGCTTACGTTAGGATCACTTAAAGTGACATTAAATCAATTTTTTCCCCTCCCCCCAATGTTAATGTTAGCACTTACTTTGAATGATGTCTCTTAATCCGATCTTCTTCTTCTTCTTCTTTCATGATGTTTTCATCTGTCCCTCCAGCGGTGCGGCGGCTCTCCGATCCAGCGCTGACTCCTCTGTCCTTGCTGGTACTTCCTGTCCCACGTTGTCTGCATGCGGGTGCACACGTCCATAGACTTACCTTGTGTCTCTCCTCGTCTCCCGGCCGAAAATCCGAACTGCGCATGCGCCCACCCCAAGATCCTTTGCGGCCGCCAGAGCAGTTTCAGATTTTCTGACGGAAGCGTGCGTCGAAGACGGGGTAAGTTTAAACCGCTGTTAAAGTGGGTTTTAAAAAAAACACAACTTTTTGCATATATCTACTGCTTGTTAGGAGTAGATATATGCAAAAAAAACAGAGGCTTTAGAAACCCTTTAAGTTATCCAATGAAGGGTATCGCTTAAACTCCAAACCTTCTGCATTAATCGATGGCTAACATGGTACAATAATGTTATACTTTGCTTAGAAAGAGAAAATCTGATTGATTTCTGGGGCAAACTAGAACAGTTTTACCACAAGTAGTACCAGCTTCTTAGAAAAAAAAAACATGGAAATTTAAGCTTAGCATCTGGATTCATCACATCTGTAATTTTTTTTCATGCTAAAAAATGAAGTTTTCATAAATTCCAGCACTAACCACAAAAATACAGACCAGAATCAACGAGTGGATCACCAGTTAACAAGCTTTGAATGCTTACTCTAATATTTCAAAATTTTAAGATTAAAAATATGGAAGGAAAAAATATGAAAGGATAGAAGAAAAAATAATGCTCCAAAAATGGTTGGGCCTGTAGTAGGAAATGGGCCTGTCTGTACTTGATCATGATTGCTGGTTTTTGTTTAGATAGAGTGTAAAGGGATTAGAACAACCATCAGCTTTTTATTGCTGTCCGTGCTCCGTTTTTACTCTCTCTAATTGTCAAAATCACCAATGTCAACAAGAATAAAAATGGGGGTGGATCCAAAATGTTGAGTTGCCAACAGAACACGAAAAGTGACACTTGTTGTAGCCTGATGAAGGGGACCCTGCGTGGCCCCGAAAGCGCTAGTTTTGGTGACATGACGTTACAATAAATGAACTCTTTGGCCTCTTTTCAGGACACAGATGCCTACCACCAGGCCATGATCACAACACCCCCCTGAGTCCTAGTGGGGACTGGAACACTACGCTCTCGACCCGCAACCTTGCTGCTTTTTACCTCTCCTGGCTCCTCTCCCCTGGGCTCTCTTCCCCCCCGCCTCTCCCTACCTGCCCTTCCTTTCTATCCTAACCCACACACCTCCACCCTAGTCTATCCCCATTGATACCATACATAAGCAAACTCTTGCTCTACATGTTACTAAGCGTCAGAAACTGCCAACCAACCGATGTTTGCTTCCCAATGCCAATTGTTCTTCTACCTGAGGCCGTGCTAGGCCCACACCAACTTCATACCCTAATACCTGATTTCCGACTGTATTGACCATGCTGTCTGCATTTCTCCGGTTACTGTTTCATTATAATACATAAGGTTATCATGGCCATATAACGCCTACTCTGCTGAACTGAGTAGCCTTCTTATGTTCGCAATACATGTAATGTGACAATTGTACC